ATAGGCTACCATAATGTAATCATAATGGCAACTGCAAAACTTTTCACTTATTTGAAGTAGTTTCACATGACTTGTTTGCATGTCAGTTATTAGATGATAAAGTTCATTATACAAGCTTCCCTCTTCAAGCCGTATATTCTTTATGCTGTTTGAATGTCATGAAAGGGCTTTTGCCATAATCATTCATCGGTGATGGAAACTTTACTTGCTGTTTCCTGCAACTATGTCTTTTCTTGTTGTCACAGTGAAATTTGATAGAATGATGATTTTATCCTCCTTTCCCTTACATATATTCTCTCTTATGTCTTTGGTTCTTTGTGATAGCAGAAGAAAATAGTAAAAAAGTAGAAATTGGATTTTTAAACACAACACAAGCTTTTGTGGGTATCTGCTTTTTCTGAGCCTTTTGGTTATCACCACGGCAACTCAAAGAGTCATTGCAAATCTTTCCTATTTTTACTGCCCATATCTCACTTCAGCATTTTAGTCCTTTCATCTGAAAGGTCTTTAGGTTAGTTTAAGCTGAAATCAATCTAGAAATTAATGATATTTATCAGGGAAATAATAATAGATTCAAATGCCTTACAAATAACCAGCAATTTATCCATGAATCTATTTTTTTAAAGTAACAATACACTTACCAATAGTTTTGGATTATTTTTTACCAGGTATAAACTGATATATTCAGCTGAATTTTGATAAAGCTGATTTTAATTGATGGAAGAAGGTTTGGGAGCCAGATATCCTTGGATCAAATCTCACAACAGTAATGAACCTATTTAGGTGACTGAAGGCAAGTCACTTTGCTTCAGCCTCCCGACCTTCAATATGATGATGAAAATATTGGGCTAGATCTCAACATTGTGGTCTGAGGGGTGGGAGGCAGGAATTTTTCTGTCAGCAAAAGAATCTTTCCTTGGAGAAAGATTATTAGAAGAAGGGAACCTTGGAATCTATCCATTGGTTCTAACTTAACTTTTTGGTAGTATTGTTTATGAAAATATATTGGTATGCTCTGAATATTCCAAAACACTAGAGTATCCTTTAAGTGGTAGAATATGGACAACAGGATGTTGGTCTGCAAAATACTATCTAGATTAGAGATCCTAGCTTGCATAGAAGAGCATAAGCATGTTTGGGATAAAGCTGGGCTTCAATTATATTTGGCATATATTGGCAAACATGTGCAAAACTGACCAGCATGTGGCATAAGTATCCTAGTTTATTCCTTTCTTATGTTACTAAAAAGCACTGTATGAAAGCCTTAATTGATCAAAACATGATGGTTAGCAGAGATCAGTATCTATGGGCACATCTTGTGATGATTATGGCATATGGGAGATTGCAATTTGGAATATAAGAAAAACCAGTAATAACAAACAAAATTAGTGAATGATATATATGTTGTGTGCTTTGGGAACTAATTGAAATGGGAAGGATGCAGTAGATCTGAACAAGGTGCTTTGATCTTGTGGAATAAAATGGATGAATATATAGAAAAGTGAAACAGAAAAGTGGATATAAGTGAAAGTGAAATAGATTTAATTATTAATGAGATAAATATACAGTATGTCAAAAAATATGAAAAGGTGGGTACATATGAAAGTAGGAAATCATAGATTGGTGATAATTACATTTTACATTTTATGAATGGTGAAAATGAAAGAACTAGAGATGACCTTTGGAAAAACTGAATAATATTCTGAATGTATTCTGGGAGAAGAGTTATTGTTAGGTGACATAAATGGATGTATGGGAATGAGAAAAAGAATCCAGAAAAATGTTTGAGCCATTGGAGGTCCAGGAATTGGTGACTATCTGCTTAAAAAAAGGTCTGTTTCAAAAATGTGATTTAAGCATAAGTCTGTTCATGCATGCAAACCAAAATGTTATTGATAATGTGCCTCACCAGGGTGTGACTCAATCAAAATAATAGGTTAAATAAAAGTAAACAGCAGTTAAAATTACACAAAAGGAATAAAATCAATATACATGATATATATTTACAGTCACAATGAAATACAATGATAATACTATACAATGATAAAAGCTTAAACTTACCTGCCATCTAACTTTACCAATAAGATTTACAATAAAACATCTGTATACATTGCAAAGGAATATAAATTGAAAAGCTTGATTGATTCAATTGTTTATGATGAAAGATTAAGAGAATGAATGAAGGATACTAAGATGATGATTAGTTCTGAAGGTGGGACAATCCATGTTTTGTAGCCAAGAATGGATATTAAAGAAAAATGAACATGGAAGGAAAGAATTGAAAGAAATAGGACTGAAAGTAGAATGACTACAGGAAGTACAAGTCCTATATGAAAAAGTATTAGAAAATAAATTAATCTCCCAATCGAATCAATGGAAGTAAGGAAAGATGATATGGAAACTGGTTGGAACAGAGTGAAAAAAAATGTTACAAAGTACAACAGAACTAAATGGAGTTATACTGAGTGGATAGTATGAAAAGAGATAATTGGTGTAATGATGAAGTGAAAGGCTATGGAAGAGCAAAAAAATGTTTATTACAGAATGATTTGCTGCAAAAGAATCAGGATGAGCGAAAAATATTGTATAATGTTTACAGAAAGAAGATAGTTGCAAAGAATGCAAAAGAGAACAAGGAAAAATTAAAATTAAAAGTGGCAGAACAAATGCAAAGTGACTTTTATGGAAATAAAATATGTTTTGAAATCATGTACTGTTTGGAAAATTATGGATCAAGAGGAAGTTTTTTTTGTCTCCCACACAGGGTTAGCATTCACAGATCGACATTAAAACTAAGTGGGAGAAGATTCAGGATTAATAAAAGAAAGAACTTTACAGAGCATGTGGTGACTTTACTGCCATTAGATGCTGAAAGCCACCCGTTTAGACACATAAAGGGGGATTGGGCAAATTTATTGTGAGTTGAAAGATCAATGGCTATTAGCCTTAGCTGTTGATTAACTCCTGAGTCAAAGGCAGTGTGTCTTAAATACCAGCTGCTGAAGAGCAAAATTGGAAGAAAGCTATTGCTTTATTGCATTTCTCCCTTAGGCATGAAAGCTGGCTGGGTGACTTTGGGCCAGTCACTCTCTCTCAGCCCAACCCACCTCACAGGTTTGTTGTTGTGGGGGAAAGAGGCGGCAGGAGTATGCTCGCTGCCTTGAGGTGACCAAATTAAAAAAAGCAGGATAAAAATATGATGATGATGATGATGATGATGATGATGATGATGATGATGATGGTAGTAGTAGTAGTAGTAGTAGTAGTAGTAGTAGTAGTGCTCGCTCTGGGACTTTAGAATTCAAACAGA